CTTCTACCGCAAGCAACCCTTCGACCTCGAGGCTCGTTACACCCAGGCCGAGACCATGCCCGGCAAGGTTAACCCCTGGATCGGCCGTTTCTCCGTCAAGGGTGTCCAGGCTGATGCCAACAACGACTTCATGATCTGCAAGCTCAAGGCCCGCCTTAACTTGCACGGTATCCTGAATGTTGAGTCTGGATACTACGTTGAGGATATGGAGGTTGAGGAGCCCGTCGAGGAGGAAAAGAAGGAGGGTGATGTAAGTGTTATCTGATCCCACACACGTAGCAGCTGTACTGACCATTTCCAGGCTATGGACACCGACGAGAAGGAGGAGCAGCCCAAGAAGACCCGCAAGGTCAAGAAGCAGGTCCGCAAGGGCGACCTCCCCATCGCCTCCGCCACCGGCGGCTTCGACGAGTCCGTCAAGGCTGCCTGGACCGAGCGCGAGAACTCTATGTACATGGAGGACAAGCTTGTTGCCGAGACCGACGAGAAGAAGAACGAGCTCGAGGCCTCAATCTACGAACTCCGTGACAAGATCGACGGCGTTTACTCTGAATTCGCCAGTGACGAGGAGAAGGAGAAGCTCCGTGCCAAGCTCAGCGCCACCGAGGTGAGTTTACATATATCATTCTATCAACAACTTATATACTGACTCTTTTCCAGGACTGGCTCTATGAGGATGGTGACGACACCACCAAGTCCATCTACATCGCCAAGATGGACGAAATCCGCTTCATCGCCGGCCCCATAATCCAGCGCTACAAGGAGAAGGTCGAGGCCGAGCGCGAGGTTATCCGTAAGGCCGAGGAGGCCGCCGCCTCCAAGCGCCGCGCCGAGCTCGCTGCCCAGAAGGCCACCGAGGACGCCGCAGCCCAGAACGAGGAGAACGCCCGGAAGTACGCTGAGGCTGACTCCGAGATGAAGGACGCTCCCGCCGAGGACAAGCAGTAAATCAGATGACATAATTGATCACTGATTTTCTTACGTTTGGACCTGGTTATGGGAATGGAAATGGGAACCCGCGCCGGCGTGTCATACTCGGATCATGGCCTTTTGTTGCTTCCATTGATCCTGAGATGGGCGTTGGCGCGGTATGACGAAAAGAACTTTTCACAGATTTTTACGGACTAGACTCGATCAACTCAACGAACAACATGGTTGATTATTTTTTTGTTCTTAATGGCAAACGGTTATGTTGTAGATCGTTCCTTTTTTTCCTTGGACGCTTATGAATAGATGAATATACTCAACGCCTTTGTCTTCAACAATTTGCTTTGCAAATTTATTTATTCGGATCAAGAAGTAAGCGCAGTCTACAACATTTGTGGCATCTTCAGCGTCTTCGTCCCCTATTCGTTGGATCGATTGCTTAGACAATGAACAGCCAGCAAGGCGACAGCAGTAACACATCTGAGCCTCGTGGCCAATGATGTGAGAATTATATCAGCAAGACCCGGTGAAGCTTATTGGCCTATTTAAATCTAGTATCCTCCAGTGAAGAAGCTGTATTATTAATCTGGCAACCTGATAATCCTCTGACCTGACTAAATGTGGCGACTCGACCTATGGTCGTTGAACATTTGACGGGACATCTGATATTCGTGGCCTGAGACCTGAGGCCACAGGAAATAATTTCACGTGGTCCTTATCTCCGTGCTGACCAAGCTATCGCCGTGGAACCGCGTCGAATTCGCCTCAGCGCCTGCCTATTCGGGACGTATAAGCTTTACCCTGTCGCAAACTACTCACCTTTCTACTTCTCCCAGTTCAACTCTGCCTTTTCAATACCCAGTTCGCGACATCAAGATGGAAGCCTCGATGGAGCTAACCGTTCACCACCATGGTACCCCGCATACCTTCACCCTCCCATCATCAGCAACACTACAAGACCTATCCACCGAAATAGAGAGCACCCTCAACATCCCAACAGACAACCAAAAGCTCCTAATAGCCCCAAAGCCAGGAATGCAAAAAGCGCCGTTCCCCCCAACACGGCTAGACAGCATCCTCCAGACAACATCCCCAAAATTCAAAATCACCCTGCTCGGCACCCCAGCCCAAGCAATCGCCGACCTACACGAACAATCCGCCAGCGAAAGACGCCGCCAAGAAGCGCGAGCAACGCACCTGGCAGCAGCAAGACGCAACAAACCAGCCACCACAACCCGCGCAAGCGGCGTGCACACCCTCTCATCCTCAAGCAACAACTACACCTTCCACCGTCTCCTCCCACTCTCCTACCTACCGAACCCAGACCGCTCACTCGACTTCCTCAAACGCCTCCGCGACGACCCAGGCATTCGCACCGCAATGGCCAAACACAAATTCTCCGTCCCGCTCTTGACGGAGATGAACCCGGCAGAACATACAACCAGCGAATCTCGGACGCTGGGTCTAAACCGGAATAAGGGCGAGGTTATTGAATTGCGGCTGCGGACGGATGCGTATGATGGATATCGCGATTATCGAACTATTCGGAAGACGCTTTGTCATGAGCTGGCGCATTGTGTGTTTGGGCCTCATGATCGCGATTTTTGGAATTTGACGGCGCAGATTGAGAAGGAGGTTGAGAGTGGGGATTGGAAGTCTGGTGGTCATAGTGTTTCTGGGCAGGAGTTTTATAATCCGCGTGATTGGGAGAGTGTGCAGGGTGGGGAGGGAGAGTATGTTGATGAGTGTGGGTGGACTGGGGGTGAGTTTGTGCTTGGTGGGTTGAGGGAGGATGAGGCTGGGAGGAGGGCTGGGGCTGGGGCGTCTGGTGCTGAGTCCAGGAGGGAGATTATGGCTAGGGCTGCTGAGGAGAGGATGAAGAAGGAGGAGAGAACTGGGAAGCAGGATGATGCTACGTGATGCCACTTGTTTTTGGGATATTTACTCCTTTCATGATGATTTATGACCTTTTGCATTTACATATGAGACCATTGGATTGTTTAATATTCGTTGGTTAATATTCATTCTTTGTACATCAGATTTGTTTTGTCGCATATTTAACCGAATTTAAGACCTCCATGTTCAAACCTGCTCGTTTACAAACAGACCAGCCATACCCTGTCCAGTACCAATACACATGCTAGTAACCAGAATCTTGCTCTTTGTCCGACGAGCCTCGCTCAGAATGGTAGCGATTTGACGTGCACCCGTCGCGCCCAGTGGGTGGCCGAGGGCGATGGCACCGCCACGGGGGTTGACTTTGGCATGGTCAAGACCAAGGGTCTTGACACAGTAGACAGCCATAGAAGCAAAAGCCTCGTTGATCTCATAGATGTCAATGTCATTCTTGTCAAGCTGGAACTTGCTCAGCAGCTTGGGAATGGCGGCAGTTGGGCCAATACCCATAACGCGAGGCGGCACACCAGCGACGGTAGCACCGCAGAACTTGGCGAGGATAGGCTGGTTCAGCTCAATGGCCTTTGAGCGACGCATCAAGAGAACAGAGGCAGCTAGTCGAATGAGTTAGAAATTGACCGACTCTTTAACGAGGACAAAACATACCACCATCAGTAACCTGACTAGAGTTTCCACCCGTAGACTTATCACCAAACTGCGGGAACGCAGGACGAATCTTAGACAACGACTCGAACGTAGTCCCTGGACGAATACCATCATCCCGAGTAAGAGTAACCTCCTTAACCTCCCCAGTCTTAGGATCCTTCACCTTAACAGTGATGGGAGCAATCTCATCATCGAACCAGCCAGCCTTCTGCGCAGCCTCAGCACGACGGAATGACTCTGCTGCATACCGGTCCTGCTGCTCACGCGGGATATCAAAGTCCTTGCCAACGTTCTCGGACGTCTGACCCATGGGTTGCATGCAGTCGGCGGCTTCCTGGTTACGCAGGACCTCCTCGCTGAACGGCTTCTCGAGGCGATCGCCGGCGGCGGACATCAACTCGGCGCCCATGGCGACTCCGATGTCGATGGCGCCGAGCTGGATCTGATTTGCGATGTCCTGGACGGCTTTCAAACCTGACGAGCAGAAGCGGTTTACTGAGGAGGCGCCGGCTGTGTGGGGGATTCCGGCTGCTAGGGCGGCGGCGCGGACCATGTAGGCGGCCTTGGCTTCGCTGACCTGGTTTGGTGGTTAGATGGTTGAAATGTGATGCAGGGGTTCAGCATGGTGGGAGGTTGATGGGACATACATTGCCGAGACAGACATCTTCGATCAGGGCAGGGTCGATCTGGGACTTGGCCAGGGTTTCCTTGAGGAGAGCGTAGATGATGAAATCAAGCTCTGTGTCCTTGAACCCACCCTTGCGTGCCTTGGTGAGGGGTGTGCGGAGAGCAAGTGTGATAACGACATCGTCGGGATTCTTTTGGGTGCTTCGGAAGTATGTTAGGCCCATATATCCCTGCCGAGGTTATTTGAACTTACATAGCGTTGAGGCCGCTGGCGGAGGCGGGCTTAAGGTGGCTCAGGAGCGAGCTAAGACGGTCTGCGGCCATGGTGAATTATGAAAGAAAGACTAGAGCGGTTTGCAAGGTTAGTTGAATTTGTTGCTTAACCCCCGGACTTTTGTAGTGCTGGTGTATGACAGTGAATGTTCAGATCTTTCAAGGTTATTGCGGGGAAGCTTCAACGCGAGCTTCACTTCCAGGATCGCAGGCCGAGACAAGAAGACCAAGGGATCTGCTCTGGGATGAGAGGAAGAGTGACTTACTGATTATGCAAGGATGTTAATGATGAAGTCAAGTTGAGTGGGCAGGAAGAGAAGAAGTATGAGAGAAGATCTCCGCATCGCTCTGTAGCCCGAGTGTGCCGAGGCTCATTTTGCTATTCGGCCGGTAAGTACCCACTACCTCCGGACTGGCCTACACCACATACTAATGACAGGTACATTCTACATATCCGGGATTTAACGTCCTTTTATTGACTTTCCAACGTCACAATGCCTAGGCAAATTTCGGGTTGAGCTCTTAAAGAACAACATCCATGTTTCAGAGCAACGTAATCAAAATGCTAAACGAAGGACATTAACTACTATGATCCTATCCTATACCTATAACTACCACGGCACAGTCCCATTCTCATCAGAATACGTCCCAGTCTCCCCATCAACCGACAAAGTCGCCAACCGCACAATATTAACAGCAGATTCAGACGCAGGTCGTCCAATCCCGCGCGAGAAATGCGTGGCAGTCAGATTCGGAGCCGAGGCATTAACCTTCCACCCCTGTTCTTCGAACAGTGCCGCATAATGTAGCGTCAGCATATTCAGAGCGGCCTTGGTGCTGCGGTAGGTCGGGAATGAAGGGCTGCGAAGCTTCTCCCAGATCCCAGATGATGGTTCACTCCGCAGACCCATCGACCCCGTGTGAGAAGAAACGAAGACAATGCGAGGTGGTGAGGCTACGGCTTTCGCAAGAAGGGGTTTGAAGGCCTCGGTTGTTGCTGCTGCGCCGAAGACGTTGACTTCGTATGCATCGCGGTAGAGTTTCCGAAGCTGGGCAAGGTTGGATTTCTCAGTCCCTTGTGATTTTATTTCTTCTCGCAGCTTCGCAAAGTCCGGTGTTGCCCCGAGGTCGCCCTGTTCTTGCTTCTTTTGCTGCTGCAGGAGGACGTCGAGCTCGGTGTTGATGCCCGCATTATTTACGAGCACATCGAGGTGTCCATGCTTTGAGGCGATATGCTGTGCTGCTAGCTCGATGGAAGCGTCGTCGCTTACATCAATAGTGACTGGTTCCACTGATGCGCCGGTGGGATCCAATTCTGCGGCGGCTTTAGCACCACGTCCTGCATCTCGGGAACCGAGAAGAATGTAATAATTGTCTTGTGAGGAGAGGAGGAGCTTGGCAACTTCGTAACCAATGCCTCGGTTTGCACCTGTGATGAGGACGATGGTTAGTTGGGTACTCATGATTGTTGTCTAGGTTGAGTTTGATGAATGAGAGATATGACCCCAATGATCAATCAGCCTTTTGTACCACAGAAACGCATCTAAAAAGCTTGCGTGTTCTCCCTAGAGTGCTTGAATCCGCCGCAAGGAATGCAGTCTCTCGGACATTACGTCTTAAGTCCGACCGGGTTCAAAGGACAAGGGTGATGACACAAACTACCAACTTCACGCAGCCAACATTGTTTGATTAACAGGGCTGGATGAATACGGTGTTGGTAATCGAGAAAAATGATATTTCAAACTCTTCGCAAATCCTAGATAGTGGGAAATGCTATATACTGCCACAATAGTTGTATTTCCTCTCAATAATCGAGATTACAGATGCAATGTTCCTTGAAGCCTCAAGTCCTTCAAACTTGCACCAACGTAGACCCCAATCTTACCACTCACCAACCGCCACTTCTGAGCCACAACATCCCACTCACTCAGATCCCGACGAGTCAAGGCCAATGTGACGGAATCTTTCTCGCCCGCATTCAGTGAGACTTTCTCAAAGCCGCGGAGCTGCTTGACACCGGAAGGAGTGTCGATATAAAGCTGCGCAGCTTCCTTTCCAGCCACTGGGCCAGTGTTTTTCACTGTGAATTTGACCCGGGCGAGAACATCCCACAGATCAACTTGTCCACCCTGCTCAATAGCCCCAGAAGGATATCTGGCGGCATTGTTTGCCTTCTTGGTCTTGGTAACAGAAAGCGAGCCATATTCAAACGAAGTATACGATAGACCGAACCCAAACTCATATCTAGGTGTGATATTTCTGGACTCAAAGTCGCGGTAGTCGATGAAGATACCCTCAGAAAAGTCGCTCTGAGGATAGTTGACATAGTCACCCTCTGGGAGACTGGGGTCAAGTAGCGCGCCATAGTCACTGATATTCTTCGGAACAGAGTACGGCATCTTACCAGAGAAGTTCTCATCACCGTAGAGCAATGCAACTGTGGCAGCACCGGAATCCTGGCCTGGTGTATGGGCATAGACAATAGCAGTGACATTAGGATGATCAGCGAAATTGTCAACGAGACGGACTCCCGCGTTGTGGATCACGACAATCGTGTTGCCACACTGATCAGCGACAGAAAGGACCAAGTTGTCAGAATAATCATCATAAACACCAGGTCTGTCATATCCTTCAGATGCCCACGCATTGATGAAGACCAAGCAAGCATCCGAAGCGGGGACACCTTCAGGTGCTGGACTTTCGACATCCCAAAACAGGGCCGAGTTATCTTTCATAGCTCGGTTTGTAAGGGCGTCGAGAGGACCAGAGACATAGGTGGGCGTTGTTGCACCAGAACCACCGCCCATGATGATCGTACCGTTGATCGCAATAGACTGAAGCTCAACTGATTGTCCTTCATTAAGTCCAATTGCAGCCATAATTTGCTGGACATCAGTGCTTTCGTAACCGAGTCCCCACGATCCGAATCCACTGGTAGATGGGACTGATGCTTTATAGGTTGCGGCGGAGTACCCGAAGACGGACAGGACCTGTGGCTTTTTGAGGGGCAATGCATGATTATTCTTCACAAGAACATGGCCTTCAACTGCACCTTGTAGGATAACAGGGCGAGCAGCTGGGTCTCTTGCGTCCACTCTCTTGTGTGGTGTAATGACAGAATAGGGCATTCCAGCTCCAGGTTCGGGAATGCTGCTATCTTGACCCAGATAGTACCATGCAGCAAGAATACTGAGTGATGTCAGTTTCTATACGTTTTCAATATAGGGTTCAAAACATACCGAGTGGCCATATCATTCAATCGACTCTCCGGAACAGAGCCGTTGTTGATTGCAGTAGTCAGATTGTCACCCCAGTATTTAGTGTCAGGCATGACCATATCAAGACCGGCCAAAGCGCTGGCAACTCCGCTGTCTGTATACAAAGTTAGTGAGATGAATGAGAAATACCTGGGTTTAGAGTAATCGCTTACGTTGCGCAGTCCAATCAGTAACCACAAATCCCTAAACGGTCAGCTTTTCTACTACAACACCAAAAGATAATCCGAGTAGATACCTGGAAACCAAGCTCCGTCTTAAGAAGCCCATTGAGAGTCTTGCTGTTGGCACAGCCATATGAGTTGTTGATTCGGTTATAACTGTAGGCGAATTGTCAGCCACGAATAATCACGAAGTAAATTCGTCTCACCTGCACATGATATTCACAGAGCCTGCCTTGATGGCATCTTGGAAAGGCCTAATGATGAATAGATTAACATTAGCAAGAGTATCACTTGGATCGTTTGTTAGATATTTACAACGCACCATAGGTATAATTCATGAATCGTCTTATCATCCACATTCGACGAAACCGCCTCGGTCTGAGGGGTGCTACCAGTAACAGGGTTCCGATTTGTCTCTTGCTCGTTCATAATGTAGTGCTTGAGACTGGTCATCACACCACGTTTGTTGAATGCTGTGACGGTGTCGGCAGCAAGGACACCGCTTAGATATGGGTCATTACTGAACCCTTCCCAGTTTCGACCATTACGAGCGACGCGACCGAGAGGGCCAACAACTATAATCACATCTGTCAGTAACGCAAATTACGAAGCTATGTTATTCATGAAGATGCTTACCTGGACCGAGGGCAATATTGACACCTTTCGCTTTAAACTCGCCGGCCATGAAGTGTGCTCGTTGGGTCGTGAGTTTCCGGTTCCAACTGCTGAGTTTAGCGAAGAAACAGTTTGTATGTGCCAGGTATATCTTACCTTGCACCAACACTTAGTCCGGCCGGATACCCATTGACTAGATCAGTAGATCGAAGTCCATTTCCGGCATCCGAGAGACAAAGTCCGGGGAATCCGAGTCGTGAGATAGCTGGAATGAAACCAGAGCACCCATTCTCAGTCGTGGAAGCGCCGAAAGTAAGGTTTGACTTAATTTGTTAGTTTGTTTGATAATTACCCGCGGGGTGGTAGTTAGGATACCTTTTCTTCAAGTGACAACTGGGCGACAAACGCTTTTGCCTTGGTGTATGACTCTGCCCAGTCTCCAGTCCCAGTCCCACTAGCTAAGAAGAAAGAAAGGTTAGCATATATGACTAGTTATACTTGGTATAGTATGGCAAGTGACTTACGTGACGGATACACAGGCGGACTTTGACCATAAAAGTGACTGTCGGACGTGATAACATCGGCCGTAACGCTTGCAATGCAAGCGCTGAAAGCAAGGAACCTCATATTGAGGATATGGTGTAATATAACCCGAGCCTGAAGAATTGTTCTACCCTAACCAGAAGGGAGAACTTGCTTAATATACGATCATCATCATGGGATGCTCGGAGTACAGCCGATGCCTCAACTGCCGACACGACGTATGTATGCTGGACACCAAGACGCTAATACAATAAATCAGCGCATCTTCATTTGTTTGTTCCCTGATTACCACCGTGGCTTAATGCCTTGGCGTGTGTATATGATCTATACCGAACTTCCCCGCCTTCCCCGCAAATATCCCTTGCAGGCGCAGGTATAATACATGGATACAACTTCCCCACGGGCAGAGAGGAGCTAATGGATATAGTCAAACCTAAATGTGTTATGGACCCCATAGATTTAGTGCTCATGCCCTCGGGATCCTTTATGGCTAGTATTACCCCTCCACATCTTCAATCCCGCTAAGCTTAAGCTTTCCTAGCTGGTGACAAAGTCGCTTGAGGGGCGTCCTAAAGGCCAATCGGGTACACCGTATCCGTTTAATGCTCGGTAGAACTTCGGTGGAAGTAGTGCCTGAGCGTCCGGCTGATGGAACTACCGTGGTCCGTTTATGTACACCGCAAAGCTTTGTGTACAGCCAAGAGAGTGAGAGCATACATCTTGTTCAATGATCCATCGGCTGTATTACCAATATTAGTCTCCCAGTGCTCCTGGTATAGCCTCGGCTAAAGCCGCGGGGGTAGGAGGTCGCATTGCATATTCTTGGCGACTATCGTCATTTTCTGCTCTCTGATCGGAAGCTCACCAATGTTGGCTAGACTTCCAAGGTTGTATACTCTGCCTAGCAGTGAAACTGCATGTCTTGGAATGATTGTGTTGGTTCTTTGTTGTTAGATTGCTTTCACTGCCGATTTTCATTTGCTCTTTGTTTCTCTCTCGGCTTTACATTATCCACCCGTTTGCATACCTAAAGCGAGGTTGGAAGAATTCGGCTGCGAATGGCATTACTAGTCGTACATCTGTATACCGCTTGTAACGTTCTGCCCGTTCACAATATTTGAATAAGCGGGTCGTATTCGTATTCCCCTATGTATATTCTAATCAACGATCAGTTGTGCAGGGACAAAATCCACTTTGTAAGTACTTTGTATATTCATCTGCTTTGGGTTCTATGAAGTGCGATACATGTATATCCAAAGGCTCCCCACAACCCGCTACTAACGTTAGCTATTTAATCCCAACAGTTGAAATTTTTATATATTTATGGGCCACAACAACCATAGTCAAGAGCTAGCGCTTCGTGGGCGTTCGTTGATGTCTCAACTCACTCCAGTTACATTATTTTATTCACTTTGCTCTCTACCTTTTACAAATATGAAAATGTGTCATTGTAGAAGCTAGGCCCCTTTGAGTCTCGGTCTCTCATTCAGAACTAGTCTGTACCTATGTTCATAGCGAGATCAATGACACACTCGGAGATCCAATCTAGCTTTAACGAAGAATGGAAGCTCCACGTAGATTTCCGAAACTTCCTATAATGGATTCTCATCATCCGTTCTTTGTCTGATAAATCCCATCTACAGGACATGAACCCAAGCTATGTTGTTTTTCTTTCACCTAAAGGTTCATTTCTAGTATCTCTTTGGTACAGTAAAAAGCACGAGCCAGTTATTTGAAACGAAAGTCACCTTCAAATAGGGCTCCATGTATATGGCTCCGGCCCCAAATCTTGCTAAAGATGCGCTTTGGTCAGATAACGGCGGAGTATGAAAGACTATGCCCAGCATCCTCGACTCAAAGCCTTGAAATCTGGCGCAAATTCCGAAATTAAACAAGAGAGAATTAAATATTCGTGGATCGGGCATACCAAATCAGATATGAGAGAAGAATTGTAACAAGTGCTACGATGGCCACTTTTATGAGGTATGCTTCATCTGTGATTATGCTCCTACTGGCTGCCCTCTGCCTCTGCCTCTGCCTCTTTCAGGGCCGGATATGGGCTGCGCTATTCCCTGCCACCTATTTCTGGTCTCCTCCAACAAGTCTCGCGGAGTTTTACCCTCCGCATTTGGTTGGGTCATCAACATAGCGGCATCTTCCCCAGCAGCACTGTTCAGAGCACGCATCATCTCATCCTGAAGTCTGATCTTGTTCGCGGTTGTCACTTCCTTATCTCTCCCATCACGGCGTGCATGATCATTCAAAAACCCTCGCGCTGCCGCATGGAAGGGTGTTTCGCGGAGAGTGTTCCGAGCCCTGAAATCCGCTCCATGCTCAATTAAGAACTTTGCCGCTGAGACCTGTCGCAGATTCTGAGCAAAGACGTGTAACGCTGTTTTCCCGTTGTTCTCGGTATGGTTGATATTGGTACCGTGTGACAAGATTGAGTCTAAGAGCATAGTGTTGATAGGGTCGCTCTGATGGGTGTGATACCCTAGTAGATGTAGGATGGTACGGCCCGAGCCATCGGGGATGCGAGGGTCAGCCTTGTATTCGAGTAAATTGCGGATAGCAAGCTCAGCATACTGGCTGCAACCGCACCTAGCGTGGCTTATAGCAGCATAGTGTAGGGGCGTGAATCCAGTGTTGTCAACGAGGTTGATACTAGTAGAATCATGGTCGAGGAGCAGCCGAAGGGTTTTTGTGATTCTAAGCTGCTTATCCAGGAGTCTACAATCAGTCTCTCCACGGCCGCTAGCTGCCCAGTGTAATGGAAGCCGCCCATCACTGTCACAGGAGGAAGCCAGGTCAGGGTTGCCGTTGGTCTTATGATTTTGATGATCCAAGAGCAATTTAACAGCATCAGAATTGTAGAATAAGCTTGCTAGATGGAGCGTAGTCACATCATGCGTGTGAGTGTTTGTGGTACTAGACTGAAGTGGTACTCTGGCATGATGAAGGTGTTGATGTTTGAGGTAGATATCGGCACCGGAATCAATGAGCCGTTGAATTAATGGACCATTACCCCTTGACACAGCAAGCCCAAGCACACTGTCTTGAACCTGATTTCCCCAAGAGGAGAGATCATTCGGCAAAGGGGGAATAACATCCGTCGCTGAACAGCCCTGGTCGAGAAGAAAATTGATCAACTGATGGCTTCGCGCAATCCGATTCCGAATCCACTCATTCCGATGAAGGCCCTCATCTTCCACTTCGTCGGCGTCTTTGTCAAGATATATCAGCGACCTCGCAGCTGCGAGAATCGGCGTATCTCCGGAGTCATCTCTCTGATGCAACTCCACCGTTCCGAGCGGTAACGGATTCTCTGGATCGTCATGGCTGTCCAAGATGAAACGCACGACATCAATATTTGCTGCACCACATGCGTCGAGCAGCAGGTGGAAATTGGGATTGAGCTCTTTAACAATTTCTGGGGCTGCAGTGTACACCTCCAAGAGGATGTGAAGAGCCTCAGAGCTGCCGTACGAGGCTGCACTGAATAAGGTGTCCTCCAAGTAGGGTGTCCCAGGGGCAATCACATCCTCGGGAGAGCACGAGGCAATAAACTGACGGAGGTGAGAGATATCATTTTGCTTGATGATGTTCACAAGTCGGTTTCTGCGCCTGCCGATGATTTGAGAGGGGGATTCCGGAAGCTCCAAGTGGCTCGAGGTAGGAGAATTGCTCTCTGCCATGATAATTTACTCTCTTTCTTCTCTCTTGGCTTGTTTCCCTTCTTATATCAGCCGTTCATTCGTGAAAAAAGAGAAAGTGCGAAAAAAGGGGGAGTTGGAAGAACGGAGAGGGAAGAAAAAAGGACGAAGAGGGCCTTTCTTCGATCCGACCGTCCATTTCTCTTACAACCCACTCGAGGAAAGCCCTACAAGTTCTGATGTCCGGCGGAATAACGGCCTCTAGATATAATTTGACAAAACTAGGGATAGAAGGACAATTTAGTGATTTGTTTCTCTGCTCTCGGGGCTGAGACTTACTCGTCGAAAATAAGTAACTTATGACTGTAACTAGATTCTGTTCGTGGCAGTACTGCCCGCTGGATTTCATTGTTACTATGCTCCCCAAAACCCACAATTCTGGCTATGTATTTTAACGTTAGGTTATGCTTACCTTCCAATAAGCTGCAAACTATCCAAACACATAGGCGGTGTAAAGACTAAAGCTGTGGCTCCTTCTCTTCGAATCTGACATATCTTTTGTTGTAGTAACCACAGCTCTCCATTAATGTGACTGCTTCCACTTTCCGAAAGAATATCATTTAATCACTAAGATCAGTCTATAACTTTCTAAGCCACGTTCTTGGAATCATCCACCTCAGCACCCCAAGGTCCATTCCCGTCAAAGGGCTTCTCATTTCGATTTCCTGGCCGGTCAATATCAAAGTCCAATCGATCCGGAACCTTCAGCCCAGCTGGAAAATGGTATCGAATAAACCAGGTTGAAACGCCATCCCGATACAACCAAGGATCCTCCGTCCGACGTTGCCACTCTTCCAACTTCCCTCTCAAATCATCCAATACAGCAGAATACTCTGGGTCTTTTGCGATATTGTTGACTTCATTTGGATCGTTCTCCAAATCAAATAGCTCTTCCGGCGCTCGGAAGAAATAATCCTTGAGCTTGCGTCCGCCGATTGTGATTTCGTTGTCTGCTGAGTTGCGAATATCTTCCCAGGAAAGAGACCCGTAGAGATCAGCAGCAAATGGGAAGTCTAAACGCCATGCGAGGTTGCGGTGGTATTTGTAGCGTCGGTCCCGAATGAATCGCGTTGGCCAGTAATTTGTCACCTCATGGAACGTATGCGAGCCAAAAACTTGGTTCCAGTCTGAGAGCCTCACGTTACTGCCAAGAACAGGAAGCAATGAGCGACCTAGTCGTTTCTTAGCCGGATCGACTGCACCAGGATGGCCTACATAGTCGAGCAAGGTAGGCAATATATCGATATATGAAACCATGTCACCATTCACAGCGGGCTTGATATCAGGATGCTTGATAATCAGAGGAAGCCGGACACCCGCGTCGAACAGGGTAGTTTTCGAATTGATAAAAGGCGGTCCGTTATCGCTGAT